TTCAAATTTTTTCGGAATGTTTACTTTTTTCGAAATAAAATTTGTAATTACTAGTGTCTCTCGGTAAATTCCATAATATTGTCACGCGAATTTTCGATGAGTTAGTTAACAGTTACTTTTTACTCAAAAAAAAAGAAGTAATTAGACGTTTTGTGACTTCCTCAGAGCAATTATCTCGATTAATCTCGTGGGAAGACATGTGAAAGCAAAGATAATCTTAGGTAATCGTTAAGTAAAGACTACATTTTGATGATTTACCATGTTTTTCGCAATTTTTCTCGCATTTTTGACATTTTTTCGCAATTTCTATAAAAAATCAATAGTTTATGTGCGAAAAAATGTTTAAAAAATTAATCACAATATTTTAAAATACGCAGCGGAAACTTTCTGATGTTTTTGATCCAGTTATAAGCAAAATACGGCCTCTAAAACAGAATGCCAAAGATGGCGGGAAAATTAATTTTTGAAATTTTGATGTGCTTATTCACAAATTGATATTGAAAAAAACCTTTTGCGGAGTGTTAGAGTTATTTTGGAATCAATGCGGCACCAAAAACATAATGCCAAAAAATCAGGAAATCGCTTCGGGACGTTGCTGCATTCTGTAAAAGTGTTTCGTAAATACTGTCAAAGTGTCTTCAAATACGTTTAAGATACTTGCCTTTATTTTTTGACCATTTTATCTGTGTCTCTGTAATTACTAGATCTCTTGAAACACTATGCCAGGAATTGAGGCAATTGCTTCGGAACTGGTTTATGCGGTGTGAAATTGTCATTGAGAAATACAAAACATTTTAAAAATACGTTTTATACTATTAGTTTCCCATTAGTCTTCATAAAACACAATGCCAAAATTCAGACAATCGTTTCGAAAGTTTCGAAATCTTTTGCACTGTTAGGAAACCACAAAAAAAAGTTTGCGTTTTTCCGAAAATAATCAAAATGCGTCTAGTCTAAGCAATTTCAGCGTATTATAATTCTTTTCGGACGTCAATCTGGAGCAAAATTTTGACGTTTTCCTACGACGAAGTTTTCAACTTTGAAGGTTTCTAAAAAAAGCTGTTATAAGCCGTACCATGCTAAAAATGTTTCAATTAGTAGCGTTTGTGACGGGCTTTCATATAATCTAAACAAAAATTGTAAATTTTTTTTCAACTTGTAAAAATACAAAACAAAAAAATGTAGTAATTCTAAGCCTGATATGCTGTTCTTGATATTACATAGAACAAGCCTTATTAATCTCGAGTTTCGTCTTGCAGCTCGAAAAATGTTATCTTCACCATGAAAAATGAGAAAGGCACATGGATTTATGAACTTTCACTGTGGCCAAAATTTTGATGGTTTTTTAAAATTTGGATTTTTTTTTTAAAAAAAATTAATTTTTGGCGTCTAATTTTTACTGTAAAACATTGCAATCAGGCCCTTCCGATACTAAAAATTATGTTTTTCTGAAGTCCCCCGTAGATTTTCGAGTAAATGAAGCATAAAAATGGCAAGTCCAACGTTCAGAAGACACGTTCTTATTTCAAATTCAATAGTCGAATAATTGCAGTTTGGACGATTGAGCTTTGAGGGCTATTTTTATTTTTTTATTTTTGCACAGTGCAGTGTTTCCAAATTCTTTTTTTTTTGTTTTTTTTTGCACTGTGCGATAAAAAATTACGGTAAAAATGAATTAAAATCTGAATTTCTACACCTGAAATATTATGTTAAGAATACGCCGATTCATTGTACCGTATTTTACACTCAAATTTTGATTTTTTCCCATTTTTCAACTGCACTGTGCGAAATTTTGAATTCTTTGAAATTACATCGCGCTGTTCGAAAAAGATATTTTTTGTAGTTATAGTGTAAAATTGTTTAAATAGACCCTATATGTCTTTTTTTGATCTAATAAGCTGCTTTTTTGAAGTTTTATCGGGCGCGAGCTGCCATATCCAAAATTGTAAAACTCGATAAAAACCGGTCTAATTTTCATCTCACCGGTTTTCTGCTTCCTCTACAATAATTTTAAATTCACTACTATGTTTTCCGGTGCGTATTTTACCTTATTTTTCCCTTATCTTCACCATGGACATCAAAATTTACTATTACGAATAATCACCCAATTTTTAATTTCCAGCATTCCGCTTCAAATCAGGAAGCTCTCAGGGTTCAAGGACCCAATAATTTTTATAATGAGTGCATTCGGTCAACATGTTCCACCATTGTTAATCCAAAAGACCACCCACTTCTGGACGGCTATTAGGGCATGCAAGGTGGATTTGGAAAGGAAAAGCAAAGACAGAGAATGGTGTCTGGCCATAAGTTGAAGCTATGAATGGACTTTGGAATTTTTGAGCGGGTCTGAAAAGTTCTAGACGAGATTTTTATGTTGCACTAGGCAAGTGCAAGATAATTTTTGTGGAGTTTGATGGAAATAAGCCTTTAGAGTATGATTTTTTGCTCTCTTATGGTTTAAAATGTTTTGGAAAAAAACCTCCGCGTATTTTACCCGTAGGATTACTGTAATTTTTAAGTTTTTTTGGAATTTGCAAAAATCATCTTTTTTTTGCCCAAAAAAATTAAAAAATTAAAGAATTTTGCCTCCGTTTTTATCCAAAAATACTTACCACCTATTGTATTATCATTTTTCATCCTCAATCGCTTGCCAATTTTTTATTGTTTACATTTTTCTCCCAAGTTTCTCATTTTTTTATTGTTTTGCTGATAAAACAGCGGAAATTGCCCGATTTATCGTCCCGTTTTGAGTTCCAATGGGGTTAATTTTCATTTGCAGTCATTCAGCTGTAAAGTTCCGTTCAAAAAAAGTTATTTTTACACCGAATTTTGGGTCTCACCGCGAAGTTCTGAAATCTTGGCATTATGTTGCAGTGGGTCGTTTGCAACCGAAATTCTCAGAATTTCCAAGGTAATATAGTCGCTCCTCGCATTTTCACACCATGAATTAATCGGGAGGGATTATTAATTGGGCCGTTTTTTGGTCGGCTCCGAAAAGTGGGCGGAGCCGAGTGTTCCGGATTCGTTCTTGTGCGTTTTCATAAATTTCTCGGCCACGAAATGAATGTAAAAATGTTTGAGTACACTCGCATTTCGTGTGTTTGATGTTTTCGCCGCTGTTTCAAGGGTGTTTTCAGCTTTTGCAAGCGTTCGTGGCGGGACCCAAATTTGATTTTTGTTTATTTGTTTTGGTGCTCTGAAACATGTTGCAAATTGTTGAGTAAAATACGAGACACGAAAATGGATCCGGGTTTAATGCAATGGGTTGGTTTTTAATACGATATGAGCTCAATTTTTGAGTATCAAATTTTCGTGGTGGGACCTAAATTTTATTTTTGTTTCTTTGTTTTTTGTGGTCCTAAAAGCCTTGAAAATGGTCTGTAAAATACGATTTCCCCAAAGATTTCATTTTCAAAGCGATTTAGTGTCAATATTTGAATTTCAAGTTTTCGTGGCGGGACCTAAATTTATTTATTTTTTTTGGTTTTTACTGTTTTAAAAGCCTTAAAAATGTTTTTTAAAATACGATTGCTTTCTTTGTATGGTTTTACGTCAATTTTCGCCATTATCTTCAAACATCAAGTTTTCGCGGCGGGACCAAAATTCAAAAACAATTTTTTTAACCTACAGTACCGGAATACTACAATTTTGAGAGAATACCGTGCCGTTCAATGAACGGTAATTAAATTTCACCCATAAGATTGGCCTAATAAGGACTAATTGAATTTATTTATTTTTTTTGGGCCACTTCCCTAGTCTAATATCAAAAACCCCCAATACGTCACCGAATACGCTGTTTATCTTCGATGCAAATTACAGGCCACTTGTTTTCGAGTACCTTTATAGACTAATAATTGGATTTTCCGGACAAAAACGCTTTCGTGGCGAGACCAAAATTAGTTTCGGAAATGATTTCGTTTCGTACTTTTGCGGAAAACATCAGGCCCTATGGGCATGAAATGCAGTTAGAGAGCGTTTTTATGGGTTTGAAGGGCATTTAATTGCGTTATCCATTCATCAATCACTGATAATGCACTCGACTTTTGGACGCCAAAAAAGCATAAAAAAGGGAACGTAGGTTGGTCCGTCCGTTGATTTGTTGCTTTTCTCGTAGTTTATCTTTGGTTTGGAACCATCTTCTGAAACATTTTGCTGCTTTCACGGTGCATTTTTTGGGATTTTTTGAATTCTTTGATTTGCACAGTGCAAAAAATCAAATTCTTTAGAAAACGATTTGACAGTGGAGTAAGCAATTTAAATTTATGTCGTCTTACAAATTCTAGGGCTGTTATTCGTATTTTAAAAATTTTTTGTTGTTTTTACTACTGCACTGTGCGAAAATTTCGATTTTTTAAAACTGCACGGTGCAGAAGATAAAACGAGCAAAAAATGTTTTGTGCCGTATTTTAGACATTTTTAATCGTTGTAGTTTTATGCAATACAATATTCTGTTACATATTGTAAATTTTTAAACTGTTTTTTCTCTGCACTGTGCAAAAAATTCAACTTTTTTATTTTGCCCGTGCGAAATTTTCAACTTGAAATAAGTATTAACAGATGTTTGATATTGATCCAAAATTTTGACAAAGTGATTTACTAGCCTCATTAGACGTATTTTACATTCCAAATTCGATATTTCATTCCTGCACGGTGCGAAAATTCGAATTATTTATTTTGCACTGTGCGAAATTTTAAGCTCTATATAAGTAGTAACAGATATCCGATAGTGATCCAAAATTTGGCCAAAATATATTCTGTTAACTAATAAACGTATTTTACATTACAAATTTTATTTTTCATTTCTGCACGGTGCGAACCCTTTAGTCTTTTTGGACCGCACTGTGCATTCGGCATTGTTCGCACCGTGCGAAAGAAACTCGGTTTCCTGGGAATGACGCATTCCCCAGGTGTTTTTCGCGTGGTTTTTGTAGGTTCCCACATGTTTTCTAATATGTACTATGTTGTTGTAATCAGTAATTACGAGCATTTCAGGCCTTGTTATGGAACTTCACACGCCCGATGGGCAAATCAGATGGTCCGTGTTTTTGGCGGAATGGGATGCACTGAATGTCAGTCTGAGCAATGGAACCGAGGTTGCGGCCAGCTCCATGGACATTGGGGTGCTGAGGGATTACTGTAGCCAAGACGACGTTCAGCGATTTGCTCAACTACTGACGGAATTTGCTCATCATCAGCCGCAGACTGAAGAAATGTAAGCAGTTTTAGTTTTTTGTTCAATACTATTAATGACTACGCTATTTGGATCGTATTTTAGCCGAAAATTTAAAGATTCCCAAAAAAATCAATAGTGACATTTCGTCAAATTTTAATTTTTTGTCACCAATTTGTATTTGTTTTGGGCTTATTAGACTAAAAAGGCCTCTGGATTTGTAAGGAAATTTGTTTTGCCTAGCCCTGTCGACTGCAGACAATATTGTCCGCAGACGGTATCTTACACTTGACAAACAACAAAATATTTGTCGGTTTTGGGTAATACAGCTTCAGAAAGGTCGTTTTAAAGTCACTCGTACCACTCTCTAGCAATTGTATGCGTTTTCCATCAATTTTGGAGAAAATCAGGTTTTCGTGGTGGGACCCAAAATTTTGAAAAACCTCATGAATATACGGATTTTTTGATGAATTTTTGCCGAAGAAGGGCCAGAAATGTCTTTTCATTGTAAAATACGAGAGTGCCTGATGGTGATTTATAAATATTACCTCATTTCTCTCTAAAAACACATAAAATAGTATAATTTTAGTCCAATTTCGATTTCGAACCTCGTAATTGGCCTGCTATTTGTCACCGTGGGACTCTGTGGATTGTTGGGCAATCTGATAACGGCCTTGGTCATTTATCTCACTCCGTCGCTACACTCTACGACCAATTATTTGTTGGCGAATCTGGCCATCTCGGATTTTTTATTGATTTGTGTTGGAGTGCCGTACGATTTGTACTATCTGATGTTTTCGAGTAATTCCGTCATGTTCGAGGGCTATTGTCAATTGACAAGTGAGTTTTGAAAGTTTTATGCAAATTTTTTGATTTTTGAGAATTTGAATATTCAAATTTTTTTGTTGAAATTTTAAAAAATTGAGCTTGTATAATGATTTATTAGGCCCTAAGGAAAGCTGAAAAAAATTTTATGCAAATTTTTTAATCTTTGAAAATTTGAATATTCAAATTTTTTTGTGAAAATTTTGAAAATTTGAACTAGCACAATGATGTATTAGGCCCTAAGCGTAATTGAGAAAAAAATTTTGAATTTTTTCGTATTTTAGGCACTACAATCAGCTGGTTTACCTTCTCCTCCATTCTGACGATTATGGCGATAAGTTTCGAAAGATTGATTGGAATTTGCTATCCGTTGAATGTAAAAATCTATTTCCACCCGCTACTCACCGTTTACTTGATATTGGCAGTCTGGTTTGTCGCGTTTTTGCCATCAATCTTCATCGGACTTCAGGTGGGTCAAGTGTAATATAATTTTTTTGGTCGTAAACGCGATTTTTTATCATAAATCTCTTTGCTAAAGTTTCTAATACATCTACAGGTTTATACGACGTATATTACAAAAAAAATTTCAGTTCAAACCGGTGGTTTCCGACTTTTGCGGGAATAAAATGCAGATTGACGAGCTGGCCGGACAGTGCGATTACGTTGGATGGAGCTGGCTGAAAACTGATTATATCTTCGAAGTAAGTGCTAGTTTTGCTTTTTTTGAATTTTAAAATACGGTCTTGACTAGTGTTTGAATAATTTTAAAATCCATTTTTCGCACAGTGCGGTCCAAAAAATTAATTTCATTTTTCTACTGCACTGTGCAAAGTATATAATACAAAAATTTGATTACTGAATTTTAAGCGGTGTATCATATCGTATTTTACAAAAGTTTTTTTTATTGCACTGTGCATTCCTACTATTTTATCAAAATTAAAATCTTGACTGCACTGTGCAGTCGAATAATTTTTCTTTTTTTTCGCACCGTGCAATCAAAAACTTCTGTCACGGTTGGTTCCTTATTGCACTGTGCGGGAAAAGACGCGGATTTATTTGCCTGCACTGTGCAATCGAATGCCGTTCTTGTCGCTTTTTCATCTTTTGCACAGTGCAGAGACTTTCTCCTTTCGTTCCGTTTTTTCGCACCGTGCAATAAAATATCTTTGTCGCAGTTGGTTCTCATTGCACTGTGCGGGGAAAAATGAACTTCATTTCAATGCACAGTGCAGTTGAATCTCAAATCTTGTCGCTTTTTTGGCTTTTGCACAGTGCAGAGACTTTTTTCTTTTGTTTTGTTTTTTCGCACAGTGCAAATTATTTTTCTCCCAATTGCACTGTGCATTCGTTAATTTTTGATTCAAAAGCCGGTCTTTAATCGTAAAACAGATAAAAAACGACAAAAATCTTTGACTATGCACCATTTCCCATAGTCTAGACGCCATTATCTGAGGACCTTCCGTAATCTTTCATGAAATAAAACAAATTACCGCAGGCAAGTACGTGCATCACATAAACAGAAGGCTATTTACAGTAGTGTTCTACGCGCTAAAAACGACCTTTTCCCGAGCGACCAAATCCACAGTTTCCTTGAGATTAATCTTTGAGAACTCGGCCCTAATCCCAACGAAAACTTGATTGTCTACACATCAAAGTGCAGTAGAGTAGAAGGTACTATACTATACTTTGGTGTTGTTTGCTCTTTATGGTTGTCATGTCTTTTTGTTTTTTGGGGAAAATTTTGGAAAACTTTTATTTTTGGACTTTTCGAAATTTTTTGCGGAGTAGGCATCGCGTATTTTATAATTTTTTATCGAGATTTCAAAGTCCACTTTTTTTACCGAGGTGCGAAAAAAATTTTTTATTTTTTTCCTGCCGCACTGTGCAAAAAAAATTTTTTTTTGTTTTTTTTGGTTTGCACTGTGCAACAAGATTTCTGCTTTTACTGCACTGTGCAAGAAAAAAACTTTTTCGCACTGTGCAGCCAAGGAAACCAAACTTTTTGCGTGCACTGTGCCAAAGAAAAGTAAAACGCTTTCTTCGCACAGTGCAAAAAAAGAAGAAATTTTGCTTGCACAGTGCAAAAAAAGCATTTTTCCTGCCGCACTGTGCAAAAAAGCAAACGAAAGTTTTTTCGTTTGCACTGTGCAGCCAAAGAAAGTAAAAGTTTCCCATGCACTGTGCCAAAAAATAAAATACTTTTGTTTTTTACCGCACTGTGCAAAAATTTTTTTTTTCGTTTGCACTGTGCAGTCAAACAAAATAAAAGTTTTCGGTGCACTGTGCCAAAAAATAAAATACTTTTGTTTTTTACCGCACTGTGCAAAAAAAAGTTTTTTGGTTTGCACTGTGCAACTAAACGAACCAAACATTTTTCGTGCACTGTGCAATAAAAAGTCATCCTTTTTACTGCACTGTGCGAGAGAAAAAATCCTTTTTCGCACTGTGCAAAAAACTTTTTTTTGGTTTGCACTGTGCAACCAAAGGAAACCAATCTTTTTCGCGCACTGTGCAAAAAAAAAAAATAAAAAAATAAAATGCTTCTTTTGCACTGTGCAAAAAAAAAATACTTTTTCATTTTTGATTTAATCTTTTTTTTTAATCAATTTTTTATTTTTAGCTTATGATGATCCTCACATTCGTCCTGCCAGTTCTGTTCATCTTCTTTTGCTACGTAAAGATTCTCAAAACCTTGAATGCGGTCAACACAATGAGCCGGGATACCTCCATTCATAAATCTTCGATTTCGTCGAGACGAGAGAGTGATCAGAATGCCACACACAGCGGGAAATTGCCTAATCACGTGAGTTTCTCATGCATTTTTTGAATTTTTTGACACTTGAAACAGAATGCCAAACTTGGCGGAAAATAAACAATACAAAAGAGATGAAGCCGTATTTTACAAAAATTGAAGTTCGAAAATAAATTTGTCCTTATTTTTTCGTATTTTAGAGCAATTTTAGGAGCTGAAACAGAATGCCAATTTTGGCGGGAAAATGTAAATTTAAATTTTTTCGCTATTTTTCGACGAAATAAAAGCTTCTGACGTTTCAGTTTTACGTATTTTACCCTTTCCAATATGAAAACTGGTCTTGCAACACAATGCCAAGTTTGGCGGGAAAATAGAAATTTGAATTTTTTTTAAAATTTTTGTCAAAATATAAGGTTTTCGTGTTGCAACTCTGCGTATTTTACCATTTCCAATATGAAAACTGGTCTTGCAACACAATGCCAAAGTTGGCGGCAAAACAAAAATTTGAATTTTATCGACGCAAAATTACTTTTCATGACAAAGACTGCTATTTTACGCATTTTTAATCCACATTTTTTCCAGTGTCGTGCCTCAGGCGGCTTCAAATCGCAGAAAGCCCAACGTTCCGTGATCCGCATGTTGGTCACCGTGACGGCCCTCTTCTTCGTCTGTTATCTACCCTATCACATTGAACGGCTGCTCGCCCATCACTGGCGCTCCGAATGCACAATCTGCGCCTTTTTGTATCCCCTGAGCGGAGTATTGCAGTACGTTAGCGCGGCGGTAAACCCGCTGATCTACAACGTGATGTCGCATCGATTCCGCAAGGCGTTCAAGGAGTTTTGCGTGCGAAAGTTCGTCAAAACCGACAGCTACAAGAAGGCTTCTATATGTTCGATGCCTTTGAACACCAAATTGTGAAAAGAGTTTGGCGTTGGATTACTGTAACAGCAATAATTTACGGGTCGATTGAACCAGGTGTCTAGTGTAATATTATCGCTATTTTTATGTCGAAATAAATGGTTTGAAGAGCAGGGGTTGATGGGATATGTTGGAAATGGGTTGAATTTTAATTTAAAAAATTTTTAGGCATCTACAGTTATTTGAAACAACCAAATATTGTAAAATTAGTTAAAAAAATGGCCGTTTTGGAGGACATTTTTGACTTTTTGGCTGTTTGAACCAATATTTTGGTCCGACCTTGTGATTTATGGAAAAATAAATAGCGTTTGCTGTAATTTTATAGCTAACGCCAAGGTTTTCAAGCGGTAAAAATACGAGAAATTTACTTATAAACAAAAATAAAATCCCAAAAATTTCCCAAAAAATGGAGATTTATTGCAAAATCCAAGTCAGTCCGGGCGAATAGAGCCGTATTTTAGGAGTCTAGAAGACGGTGAAAATGTCCTTGGTGAGGTTCTCGGTGACATGAAGAATGCCGTAGGCAATGCCGCACATCAAAAGGATGGCGATAATGGTGACCACCAGGATGATCCCAACGTCGCGACTGCTTCCTTTTTTGGGCTGAAAATAGGCAAATTGCAGTGCATAAGATCAAATTAATGTTGCCAAAAAAAGAATTGAGACCTTGAACTTCTATATTTACCAAAAATCATGTAAAATTTTTATGGCTGAGCAAAAACTTTTCATCGTACAAAATGTCACCACGGCCGAATTTGCCAGATTATTAAATTTAAAGGTTAAAAAGACTATTTAAACACGTTTCCAAGGTATGATAAGAAATTTCCTACCAGTAATCCAACTGTTTAGTCAAAACACCTTTCATCGTATAAAATGTCACATATCCCAAATTCGCTAAATTATCAAATTTCATGTCTATTAAAACACTTTTCATGCATTTTTAAACACTAAAATCTAATTTGTTATCTATGTCTTGCCATTTTAGTGTGAAAAATGCATCTTTAAGCGTATAAAATGTAACTTATGCCCAAAGCAGCCGGTTCGTGGGAAAAATCGGTAAATATAAGCGCTGCAAGGCTATTTAGATTCTCTTACCTTTTTCTTCGGTTTGCCGGCTGGAGACTTGACTGCACTCGCAAACGTCTCCTCGTTACTGGGCTTCTTCGTTCCCTAAAATCGTACAGTATAAGAAAGGTCTTTATACTCAAAGACTTTGACCACGTCGTCAATTATCCAAGAAAGTAAGACTACAAACCTTGTTGGACTGCTTATTCTTGTGGGATCCTGCATCTTCCTTGTCCTTTTGGCTGGCTGAACGCAAATCCGTCTCTTCGTCGCTGAAAAGTGGTTGTAAATTGTAAAATATGCCTTTCTCAACACTTTCTTCCATTTATTTCTCAATTGTTATTTCAATATTGTCAATTTCAGGCCTTCAGACACAATGCCAAAATTGGCGGGAAAAATTAAATTTAAAACTAAACTTCAAAAAAATTGTAAAATACGTATAAATAAAGTTTGTTATTATTGTATTTCATCACTTATATTTAAAAATTTGATGTTGCAACAGAATGCCAAAGATGGCGGGAAAATCAAAATTTTAAATTTTACGCCTAAAATTAGTTGAAAATCCAACATGCTGTCTAAAAAATAGTTTCCCAGATCGTATTCTCGCTCTACAACACATTTTCTCCCCAATTCTCGCCACTTTTTATATTATCCATGACCTAGACCCCTCAAAACTGCAAAGCTCACGGTTCAGCGGCCGGTGCAGGCGGCGGAGGCGGAGGACCGGGTCTTGCGGGCGGTGGTGGTGCGTTGTTGAGGGTGCCCGGGCCAAAGTTCGGGACCTCGTACTCGCCGCCCGCACCTGCAGCGGCTGCGGCTTCCGGTGGAGGCGGCGGCGGAGGCGGGGGCGGTTGTGCGGGAGCAGGTGCGGGGCCATCCACGTTACCTGAAAACTTATGGATAGTCAAAGTTTACACTTTTTTGATCAAAAACTGCAGAAATCGGCAGAGAGGGTAAGACTTGACACTTTGAGTCAACTGTTGCTCTAGGCGGAAAAACGTTATGGCAAGAGATTTTTGAGAGCGATATAATATCCAAGGGCCTTCTTGATTTTTCTTGGCCTTTTTCAAATTTGTTTTACCTTTCAAAACCGCAAAGTAACTCTTGACTTTTGGTCAAGTCTTCCTTTAATCAAAACTCGCGACTGCCTTAGGGGAAAAGACCAAAATGATTGAAATATGGATTTTTAGGCCACATGCGACCTACCTGTCACCTTATTTCTATTGAAACAACACAAGAGCGATCAAGAGAAACACTTGACCCAAAGAGTCAACTCTCTCTTTTGCTCGAAAAATGTCAAGACAGATTTTCAAAAAGATGTCGCCTTAGCCAAGAAAAGGCTGGGAACATACCTAACGGTTCGTACAGGTCGGCCATCTTAACTGTTCTTCTTTTCCGGCTTTTCGGGGCCCTTCAATTACGAACAAGACCGTTCCGCGGCAAAAATCCAACTACGAAATGGGATAATGACTGAAAATGTGGCGGAAAGAGGTCAGCTTGACCGCAAATTTTGAATTTTTATTTTCGATTTCATTTTGAAAATGAAGTTTTTATCAAAATTTGTCGGATTTTTGGCGATTTTTCACAATTTTTTGAACGCCGATGTAGTTCAACTCAGAGATCCGAGCCCAGAAGAATTTTGTTATGCCGAAAATGCCAGTCGGATCTGTACTTACGGTAATTTTTGACTTTTTTTTGAAAATTTGAATATTCAAATTTTTTTGAAATTTATGCAAATTTCTGAAATTAAGGCAATTTTATGGCTATAGATTTAGTAAATCGTATTTTAGATCATGTTCGAGAGAAAGCGCACTGCGATTTGAATGGAAACTGTATAATTTCTCGGAATGACGTCATCATCAACATGGTTGGACTTGGAATGGTCATTTCAACATTATTTTGTTGGATATTTACTATAATTTCTTTGTTTTGGGAGAGATTACGATGCAAATAAACATTTGAGTCTTGTTTTGCAACCAGAAATTGATCCTTTTGTCCAAGGGGAAGACTTGACCTGTGCGTCAAGTGTTTCACTTGTCAAATCTTTGGACGGAACAAGGTGGAATAAAGCTTATGATAGTAAAATACGTTGTAAACAATAGCTGCAGAGTATTTTTATTTACCACTCTTTTTTATATTGCCATAAACCAGATTTCGATAAAGGAAAAGAGTTGACCCATATGTCAAGTGTTTCTCTTTGCAAAGACTTGGCCAAACAAAGATGGAAAAACATTGAAGAAGGTAAAATACGTTTTATTTGCTCACTTGTGTAGCTGTCTGATTATCTAGACTTATAAAATACGACTTTTTCCACAAAATTTTTATAGGGTAAAAGTTGACTCAAAATAAAATAAGGTGTTATTTATTCATTATCTTGTGCGAAAATTGATAAGACGCAATGTGTATGACTTTTCAGGGTCTAATGTTTTATTGTTGTTTGTAAAATACGCCTTCTACGAATCTTTTGATATTAGAGGAACACTTGACCCAAAATAAAAATCATTCAAATTTGAAAAAATTTGACCAAGAATGCAATTTTTACATCATCTTCAACAACCTCAAAAAAATTTCTCTTTGTTTTTCTCATCAAAACTGCACAGTGCATCAATTCTTCTTCACCTACCGTAACCCAACTCCCCAAATCCAAAATCCTCGGAAATTCATTTCAAATGTCAGAAGACGCTTCCTCGTTCCGTGGCGTCATTTCGAGTTGTTTAACATTTTTTGCACTCGTTTGAGCGATGAGATTTCCAAATCCCCTGAGGGCATTTGGGTCAAGAACAAATCAAACGAATGAAAAATGATTTTTATTTCCTTTTATATGGTGTAACACAAAAACAAAAAAATATTTTATGGAGCTTTGTCTGAGATTTGTTGGCTGATATTTTCAGGACCTTAAAAAAATGCGAGAAAGTTGAAATTTTTCAACTTTCGACCTAAATATCTCGGAAATTCCTAAAAATTGTGAGCTCAAAATCTTCGGTGTGTATTAAGAAACCGTGTTCTTCATTTGCGTCAAGTTTCACCAGATTCTAAACTATTGATTTTTCCCCTAAAAAGTGGCCTTGGTCCCCCCTGTTGATTTTTTCATCTCACAACAGAAGTCTCAGACTTTTTGCCAATTTCCGACCTAAAAATTTTACAATATTCAGCAAAATGCGAGCTCAGAAATCTCGGGTGTGTATTAGAAAAGTGAGCTCTTCACTTGTGCCAAGTTTCATCAAGAACCTTGTTCATTGATTTTTCGGCGAAAAGATTGCCTTGGTCCCCCCTGATGACTTTTTCTTCACAAAATTTTTTGACCTAAAATCTCGGAAATTCCTGCAAATTGCTGAAAAATCTCTGGTAGGTAGTAGAAAAATCATTACTTTTTATCTTGTGCGAAGTTTCGTCAAAATCTACGCTTTTCATTTCCCCCGAAAAAAGTTGCCTTGGTCCCCCCTGATCATTTTTTAGTCACAAATAAAAAAAAAATTTACCTAAAAATCTCGGAGATCCCTGTAAATCGCAAGCTGAGAATCTCGGATATGTTATGGAAAATATTTTCCTATATTTTTGCCTAGTCCCATTCATAATCTTTCTTTGATTTTTTCAAAAATTTACCTTGGTCCCCCCTTACCATTTTTTCCTCCAAATTTTTTACCTCAAAATTTCGGAAATTCCCGCAAATTTCAGGCCCAAAATCTCAATTATATATTAGAAAACGTTGCTCTACATTTTGCGTCAACTTTCATCAAAACCTGAACTATTAATTTTTTCCCCCGAAAATTCATCTTGGTCCCCCTTTATCATTTTTCCAAATTTTTTCCGCAAAAAATTCAACTTTCCCCCCAAAAAATCTCAAAGATCTTTAGACCACAATGTTCTTTTTCCGTTTCATCAACCTTACTCTGTCGCATTTTGTCACAATTTTCTTTATTTAGCGAGTAATCCAATCTAAATCCCACATTTTCCGGGTTACATTCTAAATTTTGGTCGCAAATCTTCCGAACCGTAAGAATTTTAAACAGCGTCAGGGGTAAAAATAGCGGCGGAAATACCGTATAATAAACGACTTCCTTCGGGGCCGAGAGTTCCGTTTTGAGGGGGGAAAAGATGACGTTTTTGGGGACGGTTCAAGGATAATACTAGGTGATATTGTGCTATTATCTTGCGACTTTTGCGAGGGTTTTTGACGTCAGAAGGTCATAGTGTTGTATAAAAAAGCCTGAATTTTTGTTGTCACCCTATTTTACCTCCTTGAATTGAGGAAAAAACTCGACTTTTTGGCTAACAAGAGAAGGCTAACATAAGTGCGACGCTCAAATTTTTTAAAATTTTGCTTTGCACACACGTTGCGCATAGCGCACATATCAATTCCTGAAAGTTTCAGCTCGCTCTTGGCGTTCACAACCGAGATATTCAACAATCTTTGCGGCCAAGAGAGCACGCGAAATGCGGAGAGCGGTCAGAGAAAAGCATTTTTTGACCATATCTCTGCTAGTTTCGCGCGGAAAAAATTGATTTTTTGTGGAAACATTACACTCTATAGTAGGAATAGGCACAAGACTTGTCACGTCAAAATTTGCCAAAAAATATGGCATTTTTTTCAACTTTCTACCTAAAAATCTCGGTAGTTTCTGCAAAGCATGAGCTCAGAATCTCGAATTTGTCTTTGAAAAAGTTACGAAATTTGCGCCTACGGTGGGGGACCTGATCCAGCGGCCAAAAACGTACCATTTTGCATCCGGGAAGTATCAAAATGTGGCAAAATGCTTCCTGATTTCAAAAGCGCGCCCGCTTTTTTTGTGAGGGAAAGGGCGAGCCCATTTTGCCACATTTTTGATGCTTCCCGGATGCAAAATGGAACGTTTTCTCTGTGAGGTTTGTTGCAGTCGAAGAGGTGCCCAAAATGAAGTGGCCTCTCTGACTGAAGAAACCATCCTTTTGAAAAAAATAAAGAAAATTTTCAAAATTGAAGGTGACATGTTATACGATGAAAAAAATTAAATGAAAACACAGGGTGTTGGGCCTCTTCGGCCGAGGGGCCTTTTCGGACTTTCGTGAAAATGAAAAAAAGGGACCTCTTTGACCTATTTAGAGGGCTTCTTTGTTTGAACGGCTTCTTCGGCCGAGAGCTCAATGATGATATTATCTTTGTTCATCCGATTTTCCCCCAAAAAATAAGTGTCTAGGTTGTTACAATGTAAATATCTCAAAATACAGCGCTCAGATTTCGCTTATTTTGCAGAAACTTTCCGCAAATTTAGCCCCGAGCCGAGAAAGCCAGCCTTCGAAGGGAAAAAGCCGGATTTTACGGGTGAAAAAGCCAGACGAAAAATGAGAAAGGCTCTTTTGATTAGAGTGTCCTAACAGGGAAAGTGCTCGAAATACGGTCCTCACGAGAACTTGTCAGATTTTGATGAACTGAAAACAAAAGTTTCCTTGCAATTTCATAGTTTTTGCACCGTGAAATAGGAGATTTTTTCGACTGTCACCATGACTTTTTTTGCACAGTGGACACGCTGAAAATTTGTCTGGCGACCTAGGAAAGACTAGGAATTCGGGATTTTTGGGATTTTTAGCTTGCAATTTGAAATTTTTTTGAGATTATTAGTCAGAAAGTCAGCAAAAATTAGACATTTTTTGTGATTTCATGCTTGAAAAGTTTTGTATTTATGTTGTAGAGGCCTCTAGAGGGTGATGTTTGGACAAAAAACTCATTCTTAGCTGTCTCTGCAAAGCGCGAAAAACTTTTTTTTTTTAATATTGCAATTTGTTGTTTTAAATTCTACTCTGCGTATAAAAAATCGAAGGTAAAATAAATAAATAGTCGTATTTTACAAAATTTTTACAAACCCTATTTTTCACTCATCTCAAAAAAGTGATTTTTTGAATGACGTCATTATTTCTAAAGAGCTCAAAAATTCGGGTTGTTGGAATCCGTCCAAGAAGAGCGATTGAGATTTAGAGTAGTTAAATTTAAATTGACTGCGTTTACCGTTTAATTTACGACTCCATTCATCACATTCTCGCCTTATGGGGCGGCTTTTCGCCAAGCGGCTATTTTTTGGGGAGTTGGCAAAAATTTTTTTTATTGAGGGTTTAGATGTTTGACAATTTATATTTTTAAAGTAATTGCAAAACAAAAAACATTTTTGTAATAGGAAACTTTGAATATTCAAATTTTTTGGAATTTTGATAAATTTTTTATATTTTTTTTGAATATTCAAATTTTGATTCGGGATTTTGATAGTATTTTTTGAAATCTTTGAATTTCTAAGTTAAAAAACGCATATTCAAATGTTTTATTCAAAATCAAAAAAAATGAATATTCAAATTTTGAAATTTTTTATTTGATTATTAAAATTTTTGATTCTGAATTTGGAATCTCTAAA